TTTATCATAATTTTTAGTTTGGTTACCCTTCTTCTAAATTCGTAAATTTAGTTCCTTACCTTTATTTTAACATGCTCTATTAATCACCTTCCATTGTCTCCCTAAATGCCGTTAACTGAGATGATGATATGGCTTGGACTAAGAAAAAATTGATGACTTGGCGTTAAACAAGCAATAGGCAAAAATAATGCCTTGGAAGGATATGAATGAAAAAATAAAAGTTATTTTATCTCAGACACACCATTTATCAACAAAATTTTATCCATAATAAATATAATTATAAAAAAAAAAAACCTTCAACCACAAATTTATCTAGTAATACTTTATTAAAACAACAAAATTTAAGTATTTTTCTACTTAATTTTTTTTACGAATTTAATTACTAAACACTAATGACTAATATCATAATATAAAACAAAAGATAACTATTTTATGACACAAAAAAATTTGGCGGCCAACGAAAGAAAATCTAATCTTAAGGCACTTTTTGTTTTTGTAACAGTTTGTCAAGATTAGAATCAAACTATTTATTAAAAAATAAGTATCCACTGGAAAAATTATGATGTGTTTTTATGGTTTAACCACTAATCTAGTCAGACTTTGGCGTTGCTCTCCCTTTTTTAGCAGTCTCAATTACTTCCTGTAAAATTCCCGCCATGGAAATTCATACTCCTTACCAGTAAAACCCAAACAGCACAGGATTTGCCAATGTTAAGAAACTACAACTAAGGTGCATAAGACAATGCATAGCTCGATTCATACGAAATCTTGTTGCAACATCATGTTCAAAACCAAGCCAGCAAAAGAAAATAAAATGCTTAGAAGCTACAATACCAAAGTTTAGACACCACGTTTTTTGTATTAAGATACATATGTTCTGATTAACACAAGGTTTAAATATTGTCCTAAACACCACAATAAACCAAGACATGAAATTAAATACTAACAAGTCGAAGTCACACAAGCAGTTCAAAAACTTTGAAGACTAGTTTTAGAAATCTAAATAATATTATAGGTGCCAAGAAAATTTGCAGCTTGCAGTCACTAAAATCCAGAGCCATATGACCTATCAGTAAGAAGATATCAAGAACATGTAGAGATTGTATAAGAGATGTGTCCTTATGGGAAATATCAAAAAAGTAAAGTTGATGGAATCAGAGAATCCACTCACCATATTGAAGATCAAACCAACACTAGCTTTTATAAAGCATAAATTTCAGTCTTCGTTAGAGTCACCAACACTCTGCAGGTCATAAGGAACGTTTTAAAGGAGGAGAGCAAAAATTGCAGGAAAATCTTCAAAATTAAAATTTATGAAGTTACCACAACCTTGCACCTAATTTGATTTGATCGCAAGAAACCTATAAAATATGAAAAACAAAAGGAAATCCTTTGAGCAAATGAATACCTTTTTTTTGAACAAAAGCTGTATTGTAGGGTTAAGACCACCTTCCCAACATCCTTCATCTTCATCATCTCTTGTTAATTTCACTTTATGCAGTTTTGGTGTACTTACTTCTCCCCCAGAGAAAGTCATCATATATGGGCATGCCATCACAATTACATCTTCCAAAGATGTGAATTCAAAGTTGCAATTACCCAAACAAAAGCCTTCAAGTCTCGGTAAACCTTTAAGTTCCAAAGACTTCAGTTTGGTGAAAACAATGCCGTCCTTCAAGTTGGCCCCTTCTTCTGAGATGACTTGCTCCAGCAGTTCATAGTTTTGTACTTTCATCTTTTTGAGAGAAACAAGGCTCAATGCCATGGAAAGAGTTAACAAGTATCTCAAGTTACCACAATTACAAATTTCTAGAGAGCAAAGCCATATGAAATTCAAGATCTCTTGAGGTTTCTTGCTCCTTATTCCCATCAACTCAAGAAACTGCAAGAGTGTCAAATGCTCTACCACAGCATATCCAACCTACAAAATTCAATATATTGCTAGTTATTACACAAGAAATCCAAATAAATTCGTAGAGGGAAAAATGAAAAAACAAAAAAAGGAAACAGTAGCTTCTAGCTGGCATTTATGACATGACTAACAAAGGGCTATCAACCTAACCCAAGCTTTTGTAAGGGATAAGTTCAGTCATGAGTCTTCTTTAGTGAGTTGCCACCAGCACTTGAGGCACAACATTGCAGGAAAAAGTTTTCAAACTAAAAATAATCAGTGGAGTTTACTGTTATCATCTACCATGTTTATTTGATCATGCCTGCAACAGGACAATCAAGTAGAAGGAAATAAAGCTTTAGCAATGAAATATATAAGTGTATCTTTTGAATTAGTGGATACCTTTTCCACAAACAATTGTTGTATTGTAGGGTTAAGGCCACCTTCCCAACATTCTACACCTTCATCTTCTGTGAATTTTACTTTCTGCAGGTTAGGTGTACTTACTTCTCCCCCAGAGAAAGTCATCATATTTGGACACCTCATCACAATTACATCTTCCAAAGATGAAAATTCAAAGTTGCAATTCCCTAAGCAAAAGCTTGCTAGTCTTGGAAGACATTTAAGTTGCAAAGACTTCAGTTTGGTAAAAATAATGTCATTCTTGACATCATCATCACCATGCCATATCTCCTTCAGGTCATCATTCTGTTCCACTATCAGTTCTTCTAGATTGGGAAATGTAGCCTGAAAATTAACAAAAGAATTGAAAAAGTACACAGATAGAAGGATGAAACATGTATCTGAAGTAAATCCTCTGCTCGTTTGGCAAAATTGAGATTCAAAAACCCTAATGCTATTGAGTTAATTCTCATAGCTTTCCACTTTTCCATTTACTTTTTAAATATACATTAGTAAAAGATATTCAATTTAAAATGTCATAGATGTTTATACCTTACTGACCCGGAACAGAGGGTGTTCAATTTGGATTTCAAGTTGGTTCTTTCCACTTGTTCTCAAAATTTCTAAAGCTAGTATCTGCACTTTATCACATCCACTCATATGCAATTTTTTCAATGATGGCCATTCTGTAGTATGTATTTGAGTGTAGAAACTCTTGAGATTGGGTAGCCGGCAAAGATCCAAAGATGTTACTTTTGAAAATACAAAATTAGGGGTTGTTTCCACCAAAGCCAATTGAGCAGTTATTTGTGCTTCTGATTCATCAGCATCTAGTCCTTGAGGTTCAAATATTTCTTCTAGCGAAGCACAATCACTTATCTGCAGCTTGCCTAGGTTTTGTAGCCTCCCTACCATATTAACTGGAAAAATATTCAATAGTTTTTCACAATATTCTACACTTAGGAGATAAAGTTTGTGGAAGGAATCTTCATCAAGTTGTTCATCCCATATCCTGATCAAGCTCCTCATCTGGGAGATAAAAAGCTCCTTTAAATTAGGAAACACCACCTAAAAAATTCAATTGATTTCATTAATAACTGAACATAATTGAAGACAAGATGCATGAAAATAATGAAAAAAAAAATCTGACAATTGCTTAGGAGTTAGAAGCTTATTTACAAATTAAAAAAATAATTGAAATAAAATATTTTTATATATTTATTTTAAAAAAATGAAATATATAAATCAAATCCATTGCAAATTCTCCAATTTTGAGGGATGGAAAATAAAGGAATGAATGGGACTCTATTACCCCTCTGTCTCCCTCCCTTCTAATGAAGAAATCTAAACAAGGGGAGGAAGATATCTTTCCCTCACTCTCATCTCCTTCCCCCCAAATACATCAATCCAAAGCACACTATTAATTCTCCCATCAATGTTTGAACTTAATTATGGATAATTATTACAAATTATTACATTAGTCTCTATTGCTTCCTTCTCAAAGTACAGGAATGATGCACTTACTCCAAAATAAAAACGTTATGGGAAAAAAATTGAAAAAAAGGAAAAAAGAAAAAAGGGAGAAAAGGCTTTGGAAATGCTGATATTTTAATTATACTAGGTTCATTAAAGGAAATGAATAAGGCGAAAACAAAAAGAATAAATCACCTTTGTATTGAAGAGAGGCGGTGCATAAGTATGGATGTAATTCTTCAAATTCTTTTCTTCTACTCTTTCATTGGCCTTCTGATTGCTAGTAATAGAATTGGAGACGAGCGTCTCCAACAGAGGGCACTTCTTGATAACAAGTACTGTCAGGAAGGGGAACACTAAGTAACATCCAGAGCAGAATCTTTTGAGTTTGGGAAGGCCTTCAAGTGTTAGCTCTTTAAGTTCAGGGAACAAAATGCTTTCCTTTTCTACTAATCCTTCTGTTACTATTACCTCCTTCATCATTGCACAATCACGAATTATAAGAAATTTGAGAGCCACAAAACTTTTGATCGTTGAGGATGTAAATAGATATTTCAAATTAGTACATCCTTCAAGAGCCAAGAGTCGTACAGTTTGAACAACGGAAGACACTGTTGAAAGTTGTTTCGGGAATATTTGTTGCATGTTCAATGAGGACAGTTTCAACTGCACAAAGCTGGAAAACTGAACCTGCAAAGTGTAGACATTCTATACTTTGAAAAAAAAAACCAAAAAACCAAAAAACAAAACAATGTATCACATCATTGATTATATAAATCAAGTTATTCCTGAAAAATGACTTTCAAGTTATTCCTAAAAAATCAATGTATCACATTTTATACGCCTCAATATGTTAATGATTTACACTACCTGCAGGACGTCATGCATTACTACTGTTACAATTGCTGTTTGAGGTGGCCTATCGTCCAACTCAGTTCTGTGGGGGTTAATAATGCTTAATAGATTTGTTCATTGAAATCTAAGTAATTTTACTTCTAAGAGGAGATGTGCCGTCATTCTCTTGTTGATCTCTAGAAGTATTGTGAGTGAAAAATGGGTTTAAGGGAAGTTCACTAGTATTCGATCTTTTCTGTGGAGTGATGTCTCGAGGATGAGTAGATCAGTGTACGAGGAAAGCATGAGAACATTGACATCAACATTAACTTAATGGAATCACACACACACACATACATATATATATAGAGTAGAAGTAGCACAATCTAAGTTGCAACTACTAGTTGATAATGCAACAAAAATCTAGAAAAATGTATAAAAATAAAAATTCTTCACTAAAAGGCTGACCTGATCACTGAAGAATGGTTCAGCACGGATATCAAGAACTTCCTTTTCGTGCATTTCTCCACTTCCTCTACCAATTGTCTCTTTCTCTAGCACTCTTGAAAATGTTGAAGAAAATGTAACCATGTTTGGACAATTGGCTATCTTGATATTATACAATGATGGACACTCAAGTTTATAACTTCCCACAATAAAACTTGTCAATTTGGGACAAGACTCCAGAGAAATGGTAAGTAGATGGGGGATTATCATTTGATTTTCTGGTACCTCTATAGCTTCCTCTTGTGTGATGATTTCCTCCATCATTTTACAGTTTTGTAC